AGGGGGACAGAAACAACCATCCAAAGCATTCTTGTCCAAAACTGGCGGCACCATACTTTTATTTTCCAGTTCTGCTGGAAGTGGGGGAAAAGGTTGCCAATAACATTGTTTCATCTGACCTAGACTCAACGCGTCCGAGTTTGTTTGTGCGCAAATTTCGTCTATGTTGTCTTTTTCGTAATGAAAACCGTATTGATGCATTAAACAAAATTCACATAAACTCCCAGTATTTGTACAATTTCCAGCGAGCCAATTGTCTTTTTTACTTTGGGTGTCAAAAGATGCTTTTATCTGACATTTTGTAGTTTCGAAATCAATACAGTACCCGAGTTGAACTATGAATATGAACGTAGAGTTAGAAATAGTACCGAATTCGATGCGCTCGAGATTTTTGGGAAAATACAGCTGTTTGACGTAACCAGCTCGAGCCGTGGATTCTTTCTGGAGAAAATTGGAGTTGTTATTCAGCATAAAGTCATCAAATATTTTCAGGTATAACTTGTATCCTGTGACACCAGCAGCTTGGACGATTTCGGGGTAGAACTTTTTGCCATCTGAGTATTTGAGATTGATTAGTCGTGCTCCCGAATACTTCTCAGTTTTGTTTCCAAAAACCAAAACAAGTCTCTCCTGGTTCGCCAGCGTGTTCTCTTCACAATTAAAAAGGGACAAGTTAGTCAAAACCAAAGGATAGCGAATGGCGACTCCCGAGTTAATGATATTGATGTCAGTCATGTTGGGGAAGCTCAATTGCGACAGATCCAGGACTTCAGACGTGTTTGAAGGAAAGGATCTCCTGATGTTGAGACTGAACAAGAAATTTGCCGCTATGCCCAATGCTTTTTTAATGTCTTGCTGGCTAGCTCTCGACATGTTATTAAGATTAAAGTCGTATATAACATAACCTAAGCCAAAAATCGCAGAAACTAATTTTTCTACTTGGGCTAGACCCGAACTTCGAATTTGGATCGATATGTATCTCTTTTGTTCTCCTTGATAGTTGGCAAATTTAGGAAACGTAATTACACGAGGTGAATACATTACTTGAAAATTGTCACTAACAAATTCCACTTGATCTTCAAAGACTTCCATCACAGGCACTTGCGTTGTATCTGATTGTGTTAACAAGCAACTTGTCGCCGTATTCATTACCATTACGCAACCGGGATGAGCCAGCTTCCAAGATAGGAATAAAAAGACTAGTTTTGTTATCGTAGTTTGAAACATTTTAGGTTTACAAGATAATGTCTTGCTATCTGCTCATATCAGAGACTTTTGCTTCCGTTTTTGCCAACCTTCAATGAGCACTGCAGAAAAGATGTTGTATGTATAATCTATCGAGGTTGCATCGAGCTTTTAATTAATGCATCTGGTCAAATATTGCACTCCCAAGCACAAAACTGAGTGCAACATTTGACCGGAAACTTTTGTCGAGTGCATTATTGAACTAGTCTTTGTGACCAACAAACACCAAAATACAATAAATTTCTTACGAAAACGTTTTGATTTAAGACAGATGTTTTTTAATCATTTTTCGGTTGTGCAAGAAGAAGGTCTACAGAAACTGGAGTTTCCGCCTGTTGTTGAAATAGCAGTCGGATGAGGAAATATAATTCACAAGCACGTCCCCCGTCCTACTTTGAATTCACTAATGAGATTGATGGTAAAGAAGAGCTCGGTGATGTTTGATGTTGACTCTCAACAAGAGCAGACTGGTTTGACACAACCAATGCAAAATTTGGCAAGAACAGACTCTTCACAACATTGTCCACAACAAAAGAACCGTTGAGCTTCTTGATACCGAGCATTATAATATACACAGTTTTTAACTCAAAGTATGGAAAATATGTCTTAGTAAGATGCTCCAGATATGTTACCTTGTCGTAAATTGCCAGATTACACATCCTTGACAACACATGCTGATTGTATGTGGCATGGAATCAACCGTGTAGAAATTTGTGAATTCATCGATGAAGTGTATGAGCAGTGGTGCATTGAAAACCAATTTTGTTTCAAGCTCTGTCGGGTGCTGAAGGAAACTGGTTCGTTGAAGGATTGGCAGACAGTTTTTTCGCATCTGCTGGGAATTCGTGTAATGAAATCCTTCATATTAGGGCAGCACTGTTTCAGACAACAAACCAAAAACATTCAAAAATCAAAAATTTAGCTATTCCGAGGGCGCTAAATTTATATATAAAAAATTTTACGCAATCCTTCATATTAGGGCAGCACTGTTTCAGACAACAAACCAAAAAGATTCAAAAATCAAAAATTTAGCTATTCCGAGGGCGCTAAATATATATATAAAAAATTTTACGCGTAGCCGCTAACGGATGTAAGCTTCCCAAATCTTGTCTATGCATTGAACTGAAAATCTCAGATTTGGTACGTTAATTAGAAAACTAAAAGATTGGTCAAAAATTTCCCCTTAAAGCCTTTTTCGAATGGCTTAACTGGCAAGATTGCCTGATATAAACAGGTATCATGAAGATGTACGGGAGTAGGTTCAAGTTTCGAGACGCTTAAGAAACTTTTTTTTCGCAAATATAAATTTTATCTCAAAAATCAATGAGGCATTTTTCGAAAAAGGGGTATCAATAGAAAGACTGTCTGTTTTTCTACATGCCTGCATACTCGCCTGGTCTCTTTTTCCTTTACCCCTATGTAGACATAGGGGTAAAAGAAAAAGAGACCAGGGGAGTATGCAGGCATGTAGAAAAATAGACAGTCTTTTTATGGATACCCCTTTTTTGAAAAATGCCTCATTGATTTTTAAGATAAAACTTATATTTGCGAAAAAACAAAAAAAAAATCCTAAGCGTCTCGAAACTTGAATCCAATCCCATACATTTTCATGATACCTGTTTATACCAGGCAACCTTGCATTCTAGGCAATCTTGCCAATTAAGCCATTTGAAGTCCCCCCTAAAACTAAATGAAGAACACATAGAACTACCGTGATACTTGCTTACAGCAGACAAAAAAATCCATGATGTGACAACTAAGCCGACAAAACCTGAGCAGATAAACGAAAGTCAGACAAATCAATTTTAACGGAATTTTGTTTTCCATTGCATAATCACTGAAAAAACCATGTCCGGCCCAGATACAAACAACAGACACTAGGGTGCTAAATCAATGGCATTTTTTAGACTAAGTTTGCAGGAAAAGTTGTTCACGGTAAAAAGTCTAGTTCGCGATTACAAGACCCTTGCATTCGCAAGCGTCACTAGTTTTAAATCTCAAACTTGTTTTTATTGAAACTGAGAACATTTTTTGAAGTTTTCAAATCATAATCGAATTGCAACTGAAAAGGCTTCAAACACAGACAACTGACAGTAGGAAAAGAGTAATGAACGCAAGTAAACAAAAAAGAACACTGTTTTTGTTGAAAAAATCTCAAATTTCAAAAAAAAACCTTTGAGCTCTTTGAATTTCTAGAACAAATTGTGATTAGCGCTTTTATGGTAACACATTATATTTCACTTTCGAAACTAAAAATTGTTCATGGTTTTTTTGCGCCATTTCCAAGTTCGTATTTGGAGAGTCCTATTTACGTCACTTTCAGCAGATGAATTTCAATTGAACTCAAAAAGTGCATATATACCCAAGTGCATTCATAAATAATGCATCAATATTTGTGAATGCACATCTGTAGTTATTAGAGCAATCTAAGACTTTCCTAAAAAAAAAACAAAAAAAAACACCAAGACTTAAATAATAGTCTTCACTACGTTCATTTCTCTTAATTTGGTATAACATTCAACCCATTCCGATGATTAATGTACCTGACTTGGCGTAAGATAAACAGCCAACAGACGGTTGAAAAGAGTCAATAAACTGAAAAAAAAATTTAAAAAGCTATTTATAATTGGCACATGTTTGATAAAACAAAGCCAATTTAAGAAAACTGAATCATTAGGAAAAAAATTATTCTGCTAGGAAATTTGTGAACAAAATTCCACATTCGAAAAAAAAAATCAATCATGTTTTTTTTTCTCACCGTTTCAGCTTTCAAAATTGGACAGGGCATTTTGCCTACTGTCTAGCAAATGAATTTCAATTGAACTCAAAAAATGCAAATTAATCTAAGGGCATTCATTTGTGCATTTATAAATATGAATGCACTTCTTTTGTCACGACTTATATAAGAATCTGAACTACGTTCATCGACTCTTAAAGCAAACAAAAAACTGAATACAAATACCTCTCCTATTTCCTAGTATTACAAAAAAAACTCAGCCTTAGAAAGTAAAACTTTTGCTGAAACTTGTGACGGGATCGAACCTCCAATCTGGTGAGGATTCTCACGTCCTCGCATCTGAGGCCCAATTGCTTGACAATCGTCATATACTACCCACCAACATGATACACAACAAACGCTACTGAATAAGTAAGTAATTTTCTGCGAGCTTAAGTTCCACCAAAAAAGTAAAACATTGCAAAAAAATTAACTTGGTAATTGAAAAACGGAAGGTACAGAAACCAACTTATTGAACAAAAAAATAATTGGAATCAACTTGTTTTTCAATTTCAGCGTTTCATAGAAAAACCATTTTAACACAGAGGCAAAGCTTTGGTTCGCAAACACTAGGGAGAACACGACAAAAGTAGCTCTATAAAGTGCAATAAAAAACTAGAAATAAGCCTGTAATAAATAAAAGTTTGGCTACGTCTCGGATTCGATCTGCGACCTAGAGACTAAGAGTCTCACACACTAACCACTCAGCCACGGACGCTTAAAAATCAGAAAAACTAGCCAGAAATAAAGCAAAGAACAGATACTATGAAATTTCCGATGCTACAGATTGTGATTATAGCAAAAATGCCACCAAATAAGTGAACACTGTTAATGAACACTTTTATTTGCGAGATAGGTTAGAAAAGAAGAAGGTTCGTACTAATACATGAGGCTAATCGCTGGTGTAAAGAGAGAGCTCTGTAAGAAAAACGTACAACACAGAAGCTATCAGAAACCGCTTAGTTTCTAAACAAAATGTAATCTTGGATATTTTTTATTTCGAATAACAACATATTTGATGCAAAAAATACAATGAATACTGTTTTCCATTAATTTATCCGGACCACATCTGTTTCAAACAGCAGGATTGAAATTTGAAACCTTTTAATGCAAAATATTGCGCAACGATAAGCCGTGATTAGTTTCTGGATTAAATTCTAATTTTTCATTTCATCTAAGTTAACTTCAGTTTTCCAGTTTGTTTTCGGATTCTCGATACGAACTCCAGGTTACAATTAGTGTGTCTGTGATATAAGTTTCATCAATAACTGATCATTAGTTTCTGTTCAGATTCAACTGCGACTGCGATCATGACAACTTAGTCGTCAAGAGGGATATCTCTGAACAAATAGGACATTGACTCCCCGTTGTGGATTCGTCGGATGCCCTCGGACAGCAGAACCGAGACGTCTACCACAGTAATCTTTCCATATTTGGCACTGGAAGAGTACGAGTGGGGGTTGGAGTTTCTCTCGGGGGGCGAAGCGGAAACGAGGTCTTCGTTGGGAACTGTGTTAGTGATGATGACTTCGTCCAGAGCTGACTTCTCGATTGTGTCGATCGAGTTGCGACATAGCAGTCCGTGGGTGCACATGACCTTGACCTGTTTGGCGCCTCTGTCTTTGAGGAATTTGGCAGCTGCACAGAAACCTTCCACGTCATCAATGATGTCTTCCTAAAATAAAATCATTCACTTTTGTTTTGGTTAAACAGCAACAAAAGCGCCACCTAAATCCTTGTAAAAAATAAGGACACAAGCCTTGAAGCAATTCGCAAGGTTTGAAATTCAAAGATCTGGGCGCAAGTAACAAGGGGACATATCTGCGGCACATATCAAATTGAGTTGCAAATATGAGAAACAAACTCAATTCTAATTGCCCTAAAAGACACATGCTCTGCGCCACGAACCCAAGTAGGCCGGTCCCCAGTAACACGCGCTAGTTCGCCCAATCCTCGAAACCCTTATTGATCTATAGGACGATCAAAAATATTTTTTAGCATCAATAGCCGTAAACTTAAGCCGGCATGCGCTCAAGAATACTGAATGGCCCTTTTTCTGCCGAACGCCTACACTTTTTACTTGTTATCTTGGAAATTTTCTAGGAAGTAAGATTTGCATCATATGAGTGTAACTGTCAGCACCAAATTAAAGGGTTGGTAATTTCAGTTTTTGTAAAGTTTTATATTCAAATTTTGAAAAACCATAAAATTCTTTGTAAAATTTTTGAATTTACATAAGAAATATCACATCTCGGAAACTAAAAGCTATTGAGCAACCGCATTTGGACTCAAGATTTGCAGCTCTTGAGAGTAATCTCACAGTACCTAAGTACAGCGTTGAAAATTTCAAATTTTGAGAAACTTCAAATTAAAGTTTTAAAAAATTTTTTTTGAGAAAATCATAAGAAATGTCATATCTTTTAGCCTACAAAGATTTGAGCAGTAAAACTTGGAGGTAAGATTCGACAACCTGAGTACTCTGAAAACCTCCAATTACAGGGTTGGGAATTTTGAAATTTTGACACAGGCGAAGTTAAACTACGCATACACAAGCAAAAATTTACCGATAACGCTACTGGAAAAACTGAATGAGTGAAACTTTGAGCATACAAAATTTCTTAAATGACGCACGCCAATTATGAGTCCACATAATTGCTAAGTGACGCAAGCCAATTTGACGCTTTAGCAGTACCAGTCAATTTGAAAAAAATACCAACTAATATGCCTCAATTTATGGAGCGGACGCATTTTAGCTAGTATAAGAAAAAGTTTATTAAAACATCCGACCTTGCCTCAGTTCCAACCCTCTCTTTTAGTATCGGATCTCTTTCCCTACGCTACAAATCCATGATACCTTGAAGGTAAAGTGCTTTTTGTAATATAATAGTCTGTGTTAATATCCTTAGCATTGGCTATACTTAAAGCTGGTTTTTGATCAAAATTTTGTCGCAAAAATATTTGCGTCGCAACGAAATTTGCGACTTAGGTTGGAAAAAAAGAGATTTCATACTCCAACACAAGCTTTGCTTGTGAAAAACAATTTTAAATTTAAGTTCTCTGAATACTACAAAGATTTGAGCAGTCAAATTTGGAGGCAAAATTCGCAACACCTGGGAGTATCCAGACAAATCCTCACTGTAGAAATAAAAAATTTAATTTGTGAAAATTTTTAAATCTGAATTCTTTGAAAATTTAAGAAAAAATGACCTAACAAACGTCAAACAAAATCGTCGTATCTCATAAACTAAAAGGATTTGGGCATTCATAATTGACAGCCCTGACAGTATCCCATTTTTGGGTTTCTCAGTTTAAACTCGGTGAAATAAACACTGTTGAACTCGGTGAAATAAACTCGAAATGGAAAATCGAAAAAAAATCTACGATATATATCTGCAATATAAGATATAGCTTAAGCGTGCAAAAATTCTTTCGATAAATATGCAAAAATAATACGTTGAAAATGCTTAAACATGGCGGGATAGTGAAGCTCGAATTTAAATATATGATAGAATTCCGCGCAAGCTAAAACTAGAACTTACCAATGTATTCTTCGGAATTAATCAGAAATTTGGCATTCTTATGAGCTGATACATGCTTTTTTGAAATAACTAACTACTGCTGAATGACTTGATTGGAAGGTAGTATTGGAAATGTTGACTCACCACAATAAGGGCAATTTTACCCTCAACATCTCCCACTACATTAATGGGCGGCTTCTTCTTCGCTGCCAGAGCTAAAACACAAAAACAGTCATACTCAATGAATCAACTAAATCAATTCTACCAACTCCACACACGTTATCAAGGATCTCTTTAACTACCCCTGTCCTACTGCAAAATGGGGAAAATAATAAGTTACTAGGTATGACAGTTGCTTTTCATAGTGCTTAGTAGCCAGTGACTTAGTCATTCATAGAGGGGAGTAGGTACCACAAAGGGTGAAAACGGAGAAAGGGGGGTAAATAAAGAGATCCGTCATCAGCATGTCATGCGTCGGTTAAGTTCATTAGCTCAATGCACTGGCTACTGCAGACAAGACAAAGTGAAATCAAGCAAACGTTCGTTAAAACACGTGTACGAAAACCGTTAACACATGAACTCCATCAGCCAAAGCAAAAACGACAAACTCGTTTATTTGCGTGTCCAAAACGTAAGCAATTAATTGTGCACAATGAACATGGCTGCAATGACATCGATTGAACATTAATTTGACTTTAAAATTATATATTCACAAAAACTCTCACATTTAGTTAATTCATAATAAAAAGATGACTGCCTATTTCACCTTTTGCAAATGATGGTTTCCTTGTAATGACAGGGCAGGCAAACAAATTTCCTAAGATCCCTTAATTTTTATAAGATCCAACTGTCCCAGAAATTTATGAATACCAACAACTTTTAACCAAGAGTTTTTTTTATTCCCTTCAAAGCCCAGTCGAATTAATGACACAACGACCATTCAAGCTCGATTATTTGTGCACAGATCATGATAAAAACATATACAAAGTATAAAATTTCGTCGCGTTGAAGCTGTAACAATGGGGCTGTTTTTATGACAAGCATCATGTCGCAAAAAAAATAAACCAATCGAAAGCTGTCAAGTTAGCAAAACTAAAGCTAAATTAACCTATTTTCCGGCAAATTTTTGAATTCTGATTGGCTAAAATAATTTCCTGTCATTCGATTATTTTGCCACGAATAATTTCCATTCTGAAAGTTCATTTTCGTTAATAGAAACTCATCTTACTTATCAGGTGAAAAATTGAGAACAATGCAATAAATACAGATGTGACACGCCCAATATTTACATGCCAAGATATTTTAGGCTAATTGATCGCTCAATCAAATAAACCATGGCCCTTTAATTCAACATACACGGCATGTACTCAGATCTGTAGTAAGCAATGCGGGAGTCCGACTGTTTTCGCAGCCGAAACTTCCCCGAGTTGCCCTTGGCGAAAAAGGAGAGTCCCTCTGAAACTAAATCATCCGCTTCTCCCAACCCATCATTATCTCTGTGAGGCTGTGAGGAAGAGTTGCCGTTCAGATGGGGGTTCTCGGTTTGCCCTTCCGAGAAAGAGCGGACGCGAGAATTCGCCGAGCTAAGCGACAGAGAGCGGAGCAAGTCTGCCTTAATGGGCGACGGTTTTTTCATGACTAAACCGTCGTCCTCGTCATAATCGACGTGCAATAATTCATTGGGAGGGGCGGCGTTTAATTTGGCCGCAGGTTTCCCGGGTGTCATCTGCGTTGCTGAAAGTTTAGACACAATACATACATGTAATTACAACTAAGAGCAATCATCACCTAATCAACTTTCTCAGTGTGCGTTTTAGGAATTAAACAATTATTTTTCTCTGTAAAAGCCATAAACTGTTCTGATATATAAAAAGAATTATTCATTTGCCACAACCTTGTGAGCTTTAGAAATTTTATAAAAATTAGTTTCAGCGTCAAATTTTATGTGAAGCCACGTCAGTGATATATCAGCCTAGGCGTCGTACTAGACAATTTACTCTGTATACAAAATACAGCCAACAAGCAATTGGAAAAGTGTCCATAAACTCAAGTGAACCGATAATACTATTGATTTTTTTCTGAATTTACAACACTATTAAGTTTCAAAAACAAATACCTTTAAGCTCTTTACAATTCAAAAATCTTCTATCATTGTCAATTTCTGATAAAACTAACAATATAGCCAACAGACAGTTGGAGAAAAGTCATGAACGCAAGGAAACCAAAAAAACGTCAACTTTCGAATTTCAAAGAAGTATATGGCCTTAAAGCTCTTTGAATTTTAAGAAAAAATTATTAATTCATTCATGATTAAGTGTTTGATAAAATTAACGAATGTTTAATTTTTTTAAATTAAAAAGCAGGTTATTTCCACCTATCTCTTTAGCAAGAAGAATGCGCGTGATCAAATAAAATAAGATCAAAAAACAAAACAAACATTTTATGCAAAAAATGAACATTCCCAACACTCAGTTAAAAAATTGCCCATGAAGTTAAACCGAAAAAAAAACAATAAATTTTTTAATAAATTTTCAAAGTTCGAGCTAAACAAATATCGCATTGAAAAGCTTTCTAAAATTTAAGAATATTGTATGATTGAAATTATTTTCATAAAACAAGCCCAATTAGGATAAACGGGGTTGAAATATATATATTTTTAATCCGCTGAGACAATTAAATTTCATTTTCAATTAGAAACTCATTAACATTTTTGCGCCGTTTCAGCTCTCTTAATTATGAGCGTAATTTGCTTTCCTTTCAGCAAATGAATTTTAATTGAACTGTCAAAAAACAATCACGATCTGTATAAGTAATTTTACTAAGTTCATTAGCACTTGAAAATTTAGAAACATAGCCAGCAGATAGTTAGAAATGAATTAATGAACGCAAGGAAACAGAAAAAAACTCTGACTCATTTTTTGAACTTTCAAATTAAAAAAAAAGATATGTCCTTAAAGCTATTTGAAATTCTAGAGAAATCACTGATCGTAACCGTTTTGATACAATTAACTCAATTTGAGAAAACAGGATCAATAGGTAGTGTTTTTATTCCGATGAGAACTCCGTCAACTAAAATTCACTTTCAAAATAAGAAGTCGATCAGGTTTTTTGCGACTTTGTGTATTAACGTCGATAGTGGAATTTGCCTTCCTTTTAACAAAGCGAAAAAACTGAAATCAAATAAAATCAAAAGACAAACCTAGAAAAATCACATTTTAAAGTGAAAAATCAAATAAAAATCACCAAGCCAAGACCTATACAAGCGTCTTCACTAAGTTCAGTGACTCTTAAAAACTGATTATCATGTATTAAAAACTTTTTGAGAAAACTCCTGCTTATAAATATTACGCCAACATAAATTTTGTGCTATTATCGAACTCCGCTTGTTACTTCTTTTGTTTTTCTTTCATTGATTTAATTAACAAGTCAAAAAATGTTCGCGAACGTTTATTGGTACCATTGAAGAATCTTGATACATACTTGAAAAACTTTTCGTCGTACTTGAGAAGCGGTTAGAATGTCTAACTCGACGACTCATTTAGAGCAAACAGCCATTCCCCATGTGCCCTTTTAGGGCTAATTTAACAAAACCAAATCAAGAGTCATCATACAGCAAAAAAATGCCAATGAACATACAAAAAACACTGAAGAACTTTCGTAATTGGAGAGTGCAATTTACATATATTTTAGCAAATGAACTTGAATTGAGCTCAAAATAAGCATATATACCTAAGGGCATTCACATGTGCGTGTAATATTAAGATTGCACTTCTTTTGCTATTAGAGCATTTTAAAACTTTTCCGGAAAAAAAACGAAAAACAAAAAAATCATCACGACCTATAAAAGAGTCTGAATTACGTTCATCGAATATTAAAAAGACCAAATAATTGGCCTTTTTCCAGTTCTCTTATGTTTTCTAACAAAATATGTATATTTTATAAATTTAAAACTCCTTGAATTCAAAGAACATTTAATTACTGACACTTGTCTTTCAAATTAACACAATTCGTTTGAAAGGTTATCAAAGAGATAAAAGAATCAATAGATAAAGCTTTGTTTTCTGGAAAATTTAAAAATTAATACCCAATTTGAAACTAAAATATTTCACACTTTTTCGCACAATTGCAAAATTCGTTTTCAAAAAACTGATCTTCTTCGAATTAGTTAATCAAAATATTTAATTTGAGCATCTCAAAAACTTAATTTAAGCATTAAACAACTTTTTCCTTTGAAAGACACACGATCCAATAAATGCTTCACTTCGTTTATGATACAAAAAAATAGCCTGATATCTGAAAACTAAATTCCATTTTCGAAACTAGAATTCGATTACGTTTTTTGAGGCTTTCGCACTTTTGCTGTTCGATAGTGGAAATTGTCTCCCTTTTAACAAAGGAAATGAATTGAACTTGAAAAGAAATCAAAAGTCAAACCGCGAAGAAGTAAATTTGAGCCCCTTTAAATTTCAAGACTTCCTAAAAAAAAATCATCACGAACTATACAAGAGTCTGAACTACGTTCATCGATTCTGAAAAAGCTTCAACAGAACGCAATATTTATTACCATCGAGAACATCAGTTTAATGCCTTAACACGACCCCCTTTTGTTCCGCGAAATAACAAAACTTTCAAAAAAAAGAAATTAAACTTGATATTGTTTGTGCAGATTACTGTACTGTGATCGCAATATTCTATGTGGCTGAAATGATTTTAAACTGTCATTGATTTCCTCCCTAAGTTAGGCAACTCGAATGAAATACGTGGTTATGTGACCCCCTCGCGCAAACCAACCACCTACGCAAATATATCACTAACATCGAGTATTTTGAAGAAAACTGGGATACAGAAATACTGGCGGGAAAAAGTGGGTGAGACGAAACAGCCATATGAAAAGGGAGAATAATATCTATAATGTGACATCGAATCAAGTGCCGAATTTATTTTACCTTTCGGAGAAAACTCTGAAAGTGACAAAATATGAAAAAGACTCTGCGTGAGTAATACACAGACTACTAAGCTAGTCTAATTTATCATTGAACAAAGAATAACGGCATATAAAATGCAGTTATTTTTAGTGTGCATTTTGAAAACATGGAACATCGCTAATATTATTTGATGACGCCCAAAACGTACATTATCCTATCAACCGACTACCTTCAGCATGAATTGAAAACTTAGTACAGTGCTGATTTAAATTAACCGGACAAAATTAGCTAAACTTGAAATTTAAAACGAGTTTTTCTCAAATTGGGTTGAGTTTAGCTGAAAACTCATCAAGACAAAACGTGCTTAAAATTTTAGCAGAATTAATATGGTGTAATTTGTTTTGCGAAATTCGGGCCCGAAATTTTACCCCAAAAATGGGTAATTTTGGCTTGTCTTTGTTAATCAAAAATTACGCCAAGAATACCCAGTCGATCACAGACATATTTATATCAAAGTGAGCCCCTCACGTAGCCCAACAAATTTTAACAAGGGTATAATCTCCAAAATATTGTATAAAATAATTTATTTTTGTTTGATAGACAAAAAAGGTCATTTTTACTATATAAAATACCAACTTTTTATTTAAAAACAATTTTTAAACAACATGCAATTTTTTTTGGAGATTATACCCTTGTTAAAGTTTCTTGGACTACGTAATGGGCTCACTTTGATATAAATATCTCTCTGATCGACTCGGTATTTTTGGCGTAATTTTGGGCCCGAATTTCGCAAAAAAATTACACCATTTTAATTCTGCTAAAATTTTAAGCAAGTTTTGTCTTCATAAGTTTTCACCTAAACTCAACCCAATTTGAGAAAAACGCGTTTTAAGTTTCTAGGTTAGCTCTTTTTGTCCGGTTAATTTAAATCAGCACTGTATTTCCCATGTTTAAAATAAGCGTCGGCAAAAATTCACCGAAATCGGTAATTATCCATTTGGCCTGGTCATCAAAATACTTAACAGCAAAGGGAAGCAATTTCGTAATTCTTTTTCCGAGGCGATCCAATAGTGTTGGGTGTAAGACCTATCAAGTAAAGAAGGGTCTTTTGGGGAAGATTTAGATAAAATAGATCAACCCAACCCCTCCCCCCCCCCCCTCCTCCAACTCAGTGTTAAGATCCTATGAACACCACTGCATCTTAGCGGAAATGAAAAAAGCAACCTCAATCAATTAGACAGTAAATCTCTTACTGGGAAATGCAAAATCAGTAGGAGCATCGTAATCAGTGCCAGCTGAAGCCATGTAATACTGGTGCTGCTGTTGAGCATGATGAGTCGTGGAGGTTGAGGGGGGCTTCTCAGGGGTGTGTCCTACTGATGGTGTGTTCAACTGGGAGAGGGAAGTGACACTGGGGTTGGTCGAGTGTAGGGGAGGGGAACTTCTGCCGTCGGTGGCTTCTGTGTCTAGCACCACCCCCTCCCCTCCGTGGATGACTGAGAGAGTCGTGCGAAGTCGCTCTGCATAAGCTGTGGCTCTGAAACAGACTCAAAAATAGCCTCTATTTTCCACTTGTTCATTAAACTTAACACCGAAACTGCAATGCTAAAACACGAATAGATTATTGCTGATTAAAACACGAATAGATTATTGCTGATTATAGCCAAGACTGCACAATTCAACAAGTTTCATCGAATCCTAATCCTTTGGTTCGATGTTATCGTTTGACCCTTTCGTTCTGATTATCAAAAAATGTTACAAGGCAAATTCGGACCTATTCAGTCCTCATCTCACATTGACTTCGTTGTAAAATGACTATTTTTCAGAATGAGATGAAAATTAGCATGGTTAACAAAAAACAGAACATAGAAAATATACAAAATACACAATGTCGTGGGGTGGGGGTGAAAATAGCTCCACATTCAAACCAATTCATTCCACTTTATTATCTGAAATCATAGAACGACTATTTCAGGTTGTTTAGAAACAGTGTCTTGCCTTCTGGCCTGTCCTGGATGTCTGGCTACTACAACTACAGTGTGGAAGGGAGTCTGCTGGTCCCTGAGGTACTGGATGAGGAAGGAGCTGGCCCGGAGGTTGTCCACTGGACAGGAGAAGAATCCCTGGATCTCCTTCATGTGCAGATCCATCGTGATCAAGTGCTGGATGCCTATCACAAGCAGACGACATACGCAAACTGAATTTAAGCATTACTCACAAAAAACTAACTCGTAAAGCAAATCAACGATTGAGAGACCAATTAAATGTAATTGACTCACAGAGCAAAAAAAAACATAGACTATTTTTTACCAATATAATCAGCTTCTTGATCTTCGCCCTTTAATTAACTGTTGCAGCAAAAAAAATCAAACATGTATTGTAAATATTAATAGTGTTGCGTGATGAGCCACCCACCTGCCTTGACCATCATGTCTGCGAACAGTTTGCAGGGGATCGATCCCCTCTTCCGCATTCTGCACTGTTTGCTGTAGGGCAAGTAGGGTACCACACCCACTATCCTCTGGGCACTGGAGGTCTTGCAGGAGTGGGCGAGGATGAACAGTTCCATCATCATGTTGTTGGGATCCCTGTTCCCCGTCTGCAGAATGAACACGTCCTTTCCACGCACTGACTCATCTATCTGGATTTTCGTCTCTAAAAAAGACACAAAACAAAGGGAAGTCATCATAGTCGAAGTCTCATTTTGCCAAAGACTTATTTCAGCCAATCAAAAGTCAGTAATTAGTAACAAGGCAGAATAATCGTGAAAATCAGTCAATTGTGGGTAACTTGAAAGGCATTAGTTTGTTGCCAGCTCAATCACTTTCAGTCGAAACACAATAAGCTCAAATCAAACTATTGAAAAAAACTTGTTTAATTATCAGAACTTGTCCAATTATCAGAACTACAACTGTTAAGCGTACAATTGAGGTCCCTTCACATGTGGCAAGTTACACATAACAAACTTCTCAATTTAATCTAATTTTACACATTATACCAATGCTGCTATTTACCAACTTAATCTCTTCTTTGGCTGATCTAATTCAATCTCTCTTACCTCCGCAGTTCTCCTGATACAGTTTGCAAGCACCAATGGGAATTCCGAGTCGTCTGAAACATAGCCAATCGAAAATTGGAAAGGAGTAAAGCAAGTATACATAAAAACACTGACTTTTGTTTAAAAAATCTTAATTTCAAAGAAAAAAATAGATGACCTTCAAGCTCTTTGAATTTCTAGAACGATTTCAGATTGTCGCTTTTTGATAACATTAACCCAACTTATCAACACGTTAAATTTTTATTCCGCTGAAAATCTAAACATTAAATTCCACTCTCGCAATTAAAATCGTTCACGTTTTTTCGCGCCATTTCCACGTTCGTATTGGGAGAGTGCTATTTACGTATCTTTCGGCAGATGAATTTCAATTGAACTCAAACAGCGCAGTTCATATAATTGCATATGCTAATTGCATATACCTAAGTACATTCATAAATGCATCAATATGTATGAATGCACATGTGTAGATATTAGAGCATTTTAAGACATTTCCTGAAAAAAAAAATTAGCAAGACCTATATAAGCGTCTTCACTACGTTCATTGCTCTTAAACACACAAGCCGAGACTGAATTAGTACAATTTAATTGAATATTTGGACGACCAAATGGGACGATTCAAGTAAAATGGGACGATTCAAGTACAATTTTACTCCTTTAATACAGGTTTCTTCCAAGTTGGGTCTTTTAAAACCATGCTTGATTCAAATGTATGTATACTAAGTGAGGCCAGATATGTGATTCTTAATTCACTTGATGCATTTTGTCACCCAAAACAAGATTGCATTTCGATTAACTTCAGAAATAATCCCTCATTCACGTGTTTCAAACAGATATAACCTTTGGTGCGCATTGAGGGCAGTTGTGAACTTCTCGAAAATTAATTAAGCTATTGTTGAACCATTCTATTGGTTTAAATATTTGAAGATTATTTGCATTTTATCCTATCGTTCAAGGACAAACAAAACATATATAGTTCCAAGAATTTACTACATTACACTTCAAAAACAATGGACGCAAGTGAACATAAAAAGTTTCCACGTTCGTATTTGGAGAGTGCTAATTACATCTTTTTCAGCAGATGAATTTCAATTGAACTCAACAAGTAAGTGCATATATACCTAAGTGCATTCATAAATGCATCAATATGTATGAATGCACATCTGTAGTTAATATAGACTTTTATGCACATTTTGAGACTTTTCTTGAATAAAAAAAATCAACAGGACCTATGTAAGAGTCTTCACTACGTTCATTACTCTTAATCATAAAATATTTTTGGTCATATCCAGTTTCCATTTCATGCAGCAATTTAATTTCGTCAACCAGTCTTAATATTGGCACGACTTTGTTCAAGATCATATTCAAATTTGGATGAAACTAATAACCCTTTTAGTAAATCATTTGAATCAAGCTAGTCAGTTTATTTTAAAGTTCATATAAAAGTCAAGATGATCGACAAGTAATTTTCGTAGCGTGCATGTTATCTCACATTGTCTCGGGGAAAGTTTCTCTCAGTTAAAGCTTACGCTTTTACCGAGCCTCCACTGCAATTTAGCCAAAAAACAGACATTGCCACGCAGCTAACTTCAATTACAACAACGCACGCATAAGCAACAATAACATAAATTGACCAACGCGCGTGTAAGCAACGATAAAAGAATTGAACGGTCTCTCCAGTTAACAAAAACCTCGAAACACCTGAACCATCAATACTTTGTATTATTTCGGACAGTTACCCGCTTTGGCGGACATCCCGCTTAGAGTGGCTGGCATCCCGAGTATAATCCCAGTAGAGCGGCTCGCGAAATATGCTGATTTACCAAGAACAAAACTATTTTGCGCTACGACGAACTTCAGCTAAATGTTCTTTGCGTTTATTGAATTAAAAATTTTTGACCATTTTTTGCGAAAGTGCACTTGCAGCCTCCTGTTGTACTTTTTCGGTCACCACCAGGCTCCATTTCATTTTTCTTTTCAATGTATTTAATTCGACTATTATTAGAGTATTTTGTTCGAAAACCATATTCGGAAAAATCTAAACCTTTTTCGGTTATTAATTTCAATCATGTCGCTCAGATTACTTTCCATTCAAATCAAAAGCTAGAAGATCGGCAAGATCATTTCAGTTTGAATCGACAGCGCAGTTAACAGCGTCCGTGTTATACTATTTTGTTATGCAAAGCATTTTCCAATTTAAGACTCAATGTTTACCGACACTGACAAGGGTTTATAAAATTAAATACAAATTCACATTTTTTTCGCTATAAATGCTTAATTTTGAGGACCATTTTTGGAAAACAATTTATTGGATTTTTTTAAAATACATCTAATGACAGCAAATGATGTGAATTATTTTCTCTGAGAGTTTCGATTTTTGATTTGAATCAATTATCAGTTTTTTCCAGGTCTGTAACAGCCAGTTTTCATCATTTGTAATTAGTTTTTCAGCGGTGTGAAACTATAATAAACAACAGCGTTGAAGAAATCTATCACACTGAACAATGCTACTTTCCTTTATTAAATGTTTCATATCGCATGATCAACTTTTCCACTCCACTTAATCGATGACGTGTTCACTTTCATAGCAAGCCTACAAAAAACGGGCTTTTTATGGTGAAAACGGGCTTTTTAGATCCGGAAAAAACTAGTAAAAGCTTCAAATCAAAAATCGAGACGTTCATATAAAACTTCATTTGCAATCGGTCGATGTTAATTTGGTGGTCATACTCGAAGTAAATGTTGTCCAAATTGTCCTTAAAATGGCATTTCGAGAGTTAAAACTTGAATTTAAGTTTAATTTTGTCCACTAGTGTAGCCTCGTTCTGTTTTAGCGGTGGACAGTCAATAAGCAGAATGGTCTAAGAGCAGAATAGGTCCAAGAGCAGAAAAACAGAAAAATATCAACTTTTATAAGCTAATCGGTAAATTAATTATCAGAAATGTCAATAATACCAACGCAACGAACATTTTATGCACAATTTGAGTAATTTAATCAAGAATTTTTAAAAAAATTTAATCAAAATACTTAATGAAATTAGACAATTCATGCCTAATTTATTCGTTTTCTTGGTAATTTTTGACGATTCTAATAATTGTTTTATCAAATAGCCCGAATAAACCAAAATAAGTCAAAATTCTTCTGATTTTCTGCTCTTGGACCCATTCTGCACTTGGACCATTCTGCTTATTGCTCCGCCTCCCTGTTTCAGCGTATATTAACTAAATCCTCCGATAAAGAATATATGTTGATATCTTACGATTAATTTTTTTTGGATTAAAGATTTATTGCGTAGCGTGTAATAATGCTTGATTTCTGATGACTTTAACAAACCCAATTTAGAACCAAATATACAAAGTCCAGTCCACCGACACCGCTGGGGGGGGGGGGGGGGGGGGAGTGGGTTGTTTACTTGATCTCACTATGATTTTGTTTGTTCAGAAGTTTCAAAGCTTTGGCTTACTTTGGCTCTTTTTTGACGAAATTCGCAGGTGTGGGAAAGGAAAAAAGCCGTCTTTTATAATTGCAATAAGTTTACAGACGAGGCGAAATTCAATTCGAATAAGACGGCTACTCACTGTCCGACTCTCTGGGCTAGTTGTCTGTGACTGTTCCCACTCAGCAAAACCTGTCCTTTGATCATGGAGGCCGGGTGGGCCTTGCTCATCATCATTCCACCCCCTCTATTAGACATCACTACTGCACACACAAGTAACACAACCAACCAGCACTAACTAGTTAATAAGTTAAAAGTCAGTCTGCAACCCAAGACTTATTCAAAGCAACAGTTCGAATTGAGATTAATTGTAAGAAAGAACTCAGCTTCAAAACAAAAAGTGTGCTTTAACACTTGAATCGAATCTGTTTATGGATGGTACCATTAACGCATTTCAACATTTAACAAGAAGGAAAACCACGTTTCAGATCAGCAGTGATAACCTATTGATGTCATACATAAACACACGTCAATTTCCGTGAATCATAGTGAATGATGACGTAATCAGAAGGCAAAGAAACCACACTGAACAGCAGATGAGTGTCCACTTCACTTCATCGTGCATTCATATTTCTGAAAAGAGACCACAACTTATCCAAAGCACCAAGATTCGTCCATCAAAATAGGACAACGATTAACCACGTCGTTTACATCAACGCACTCAAATCTTTAAATTAATTGTTTTGAGCAAAAAAATTGATCCAATTGCATTAATAAAAAAATTTGTGCAAAAAAACTGGCTGTGAAAACGACGGGTCTCAATCAGGGGCGGATCTAGGATTTTCTCGAGGGAGGCGGATTTTCAAAAATTTTGACCTTTTTTGGGTCGATCAAATTGATTTTCCGAGCACTCCCAGAGCAGTACACCTTGATTTACACCTTATACACTGAGAATAGTATAATTTTGGCAGCTTTTTTTTCTCAGAAATTCAGAACAACAAAAATAATCTTTCAAAGTGGAACTTGCATTTCTGAGAAATAGAAAACCGCGAAGTTTAGCAACCAACAAGCAAATGAATTTACCTGTAATGACTTGAACCGAACAGTGAGTGCCGCATAAATTTTGAAATACGTAGGAACAAAAGTATTTTTTTATTGTATAATGATTATATATTTGACAACAGTTAACTTCAACCAATCAGATTTGAGCAATTGGTTTTTTCTTCTCATGTTTTAAGAATAACAACTTTGGGCGGAATAAGTAAAAAGACTTCGTTTTTTATGCTAGTCGATACGATTTTTAATTTTAAAACTTTTATGCTAGACGATTGACCGTCCACTAAGGCACCACTTTCAATACTTCGCGCCCTTTTCAATTATAAATTACGCCCGGTCAAAACACTGCATGAAAATTTTTCATGAAACAAGCAGCTCATGCATGAAAAGTTCAATGATTCACTTGCGATAAAGCCAACAAAAAATCAGGGCTGTCATATTGTTAACTAAAACGTTTTTAACATGTTAACATGTTAATTATATGAAAAAAACACGTTAAAAACAAAATTGAGTTTTAAAATCACTCATTGAGTTGTTTAAAGAGAAAAGCCAGCTTTCCAGCCTTCTCGACGCCCAAAGAACTTCGGAGTTTTCCATAAGTGAGTCCGAGAGTTGAGAAACACCGCTCCAATCCTGCACTGGAGGAGATAGCATTGGCCAGTGTCGATGCATAGTCGACCAATTCTTTCGAGAATCCCAGTCGAAGTCCACTTCTCCACCAAGCTTCACTCTCGACCTTTTTGTAACCCTCAGCAAAAAGGTATTCGTTATAGGGAGGAACTTTTGCCATGTAATTTTGCCAACCATCGATAGCAAGTGTGACGTTGGAGCCCGACACCATTCGCTTCACTTTCGTTTGTTCACTTGCATAAATTTCGTCCAGTAACTCTCCACCAATCCTTCGGCGATCTGGAACAGTTGTTCCTGGTCGCAGAAATTGGACAAGCTTCGCGAGATGCTTGTTTGACGCGGCATTAAACGGAGTGTTGGTTGCGATGAAATATCGAGTCACAAGGATATCGCTCTCATGCTGCCTCGTGGGATTAGTGGAGATGACATTGAGAGCTGTCTGTCTCTTCTTTGGAGCCGGCGGAGCAGATGATGTTGTAGTGGCAGAAGATGTGGATTGCTCCTGGATGTCATCGTCATCGTCCACATTCCGGCAATCCCTCATGTGCTTCTCCATGCGTGCCGCATTGTTCACAACCTCAAAACCGCAGGTCTTGCATTTGGCCCGTTTAACGCCGCCAACGATAATCTCTTTGAAGCTGTACCACACGTCTTTCTTCTGCCGCGGCATGACACAATCTGAAATAAATATTTGTTAGTGTATGACGCATGCTGTTAGTACATCATGTGTTAAAAACAATGGTACCAATAGGTGTTATTAACATGTTAAATATAGGTCTGTTAATAACACCTTGTTAATAACATGACAGCCCTGCAAAAAATTATAGAACAATTTTGAAAAACAATTGAAAAAAATTAATCAGTTAAACTGGAATATCAATCAAAAATTGCACAACTAAAACGCTAATTATAAAACAAACAATTGTCTTCCTAAATGACGCCATTTTATCACATTTATCATATCATAACAGTCAAAAAGCTTATTAAAACAAGAATAGCCGGTTACTGTGCAAGTAACACAGAATGTTCCGACCATAGTCTTCAAAAAACTACTAAAAAAAGTTTTTTTTTGAAATTAGTGTAGTTTTTATGCGTGGTGTGATAAAAGAATTCGACGTAAAACTATAATTTAGGCACATTCGACCATCATAGTAAAATAGGCAAACAGGACAACAGTTTTTGTTGGAAATGACTAGAAAAACAAAAAAAATGTATGAAGTTTTGGAAAATCAATTTGGGTTCCCAAAATGGCATTAAAAATCTTCGAAAACTAATTTTACTCAAACAAAATTGAAGTTAATTAAAAATAAAATATTGTCAACGGCTTAAAATAAGCATAAATAAGCCTGCTCGCTGGCTTTCATCACTCGAAATTAGACGAAAAATCAAAAAATTCAAACAGGTTTTTCTCGACATTTTGAGAATTTTATTGTGTGGTTCGAATCACGACTGAAAGGGTTTTAATATGGTATATTACTCAACTTTGTCCGATGATTATTTGTGATACCTGATTTTGCTTGGAAAACAAAAAAACTAAAACACACCCGAATACAAAGTTCCTCCCAATTTTCGATGGTCGGAAAATTTATTATTCTATTAAATCTAAAGGTGGAGGCCAATATAATTAAATAGATAAAACAAAAGCTCGACTCTATTTAAGCCGAAGAAAATAAAACAGAAACAGATTCAATTATTTTCAGTTCTAGTAGAAAAAAGCTTCAAAACGGACAAAACATCCCAGCTTTGGAGTGCAAGTCGATAAGGTTAAGCAGACAGACTATAGTCCGACACGTCAAATAAAAATGTTCAGAAAAAAACACCCAATTTGAAATAAAAAAAACTGCTCCTGGTAGGAATCGAACCACGCACGATTGTCGTTCAAAGTTTGGGCGTTACCTCTAGGCTAAAAACGCAAGGCAGTAATTGATTTTGAATTTATTACCCAGAGGCGATGCTGCGCTTTGCAAACACAAGCGAAAAAGCGTACGATGTAGCTTCAAAAGGGTCAAAAATAGAAAATAAAGGGAATAAATTAATGATTTTTGAAAAATAAAGGACCCTTTTGGGAGACCAGTGGTGCCATTGACGCTAATCGAAACCAAAGAGAAGCGAGAAACCAAAAAGAAAGTGTAAAGCAAAACTAGCTTTCTTCGGTTCATCTGATGAATTAAGAATGCTTCAACTGTGTTAACTTATAAATAATCAAATGTCAAAATATGATATTAGATAGCCAACTCAGCCTACTGCTTTAGCAGTAATATTTAGCACTAAAAGTAGCACTAATATTTGCGACTTAAGTTAGAAAAAAAGTAGCCCTGTAGTATCACACTAAGATTGGCTTTTATAAGAACCACTTAATATCTCACGTGCGAATTCAGTTCGCTAAAATGTTTACGGGAAAAGCATAGTGCCCGATTACAATACCTTTGCTAATTAATCGCAAGGGTAAATTATTTTTCCGGCACATAATTTTTAAAGAGTCGCTTGGCAATGTTTTTTCGTATCAAATGGTATCTGATAAACTTGAGACAACAAAGGAGCGAATTGTACTTTAGATTTGAGTGCTCTTCAGGTTAAATCTTAGTTGCTTTTCCGTGAAGAAGGGGACAATTTGATAGCACAATTGGATCAAAAGATGATAACGCGCATGGTAAAACAGTCTTTTCAGCAACAACATTTTCCGAGCCAAAAACCTTGCAAATGTCTTTTAGTTGATTCCTCTGATTGTGACAGTAAAACAAGCAGAACTGCAGAGGAAACATCACGAACTGAATTAGCTTAATTTTGAGACTACCTTGGAACTCCTCAGTATGCTCGAAGCAGTAGTACTTTCCACCAGGGGTTAACACCTGATAATGAATGAAGTCACACGTCAAGGCAAAAGCAAATTAAGACAATTCAAAAATCAAACATAGCGAACAGATTGAAAGATGTAAAAGAACAATGAAACCGAAACAAAAGCTGATTGAAGTTTTTTTAAAGATTTTTCAACTTTTTAAGAAAAATATCACGTAACAGCTTTTTGAAATTCAAGAACTGTTGATAATTGGCACTTTTTTCAATAGAATATCCTGTTTAGAGAAAATAAGTTTTTTACTTTCGCCGGCAATTCAGAAAATTGTCCGCTTTAGAAAGTTTAGGTACGTTTTTGTGAACTTAACATTTTTGCTGTTTGATATTCAACAAAGGAATCGAAGTGAGTTTAAAAAGAAATCAAACGTCAAAGCACAAAAATTAACTATGAAACAACTTACGCGATGAATTTCCTCAAAAGCTTTCGTTGGGTTTTGGAAACTACAAGTTACCAGGGTTGTAACAACAGCGCTAACCGAGCCTGAAGGAATACACGCAAGATCCTCGGCTTGAGCTTTCAGGTACTTTCTAAGTATAACACCAGCGCTTTCACATTTTTTCGTGATTTCTTCTAACCCGATTGAGTGAATATCAGAAGCAATTAGAGTAGATTCACTGGGAAAATATTCGATATTAGCTCCAGATGATATTCCTAATTCTAATATGACTGTCTCTCCGTTCTCCTGCGGTTGAAGAGAAACAAGGTCCCCAAAAAGATGCGCTTTTAAATCTCTGTGAGCTCCGTAAAGTTCGCCCTCTTTTCGGTCTTTTAGCATTAAATACTCAATTTTACTAGATATGCGAGGCCAAATGAGAAAATAAAATGATGTGCACCCAACAGCACAGTAAAATACCGTGTTCCGATCTGCGTTGTTAAGAAAATGAGACATAAAAGCCTGAAATTGTTTGTCAAATTATGTACAAAGAGGCGACGCGGAGCTCCGCATCACTTGCGATATAAGATAAACAAAGAAAACAAACCGAAATAAAATGTTGCAAAAAAACTTCGAAAAAAAATTCACATGAAAACTCGGTGAAGCTGAGAAAATCTTCGGAAATACAGGAATCACTATAAAAGCAGAGGCCCGAGT